GATGAGGGCCGGGCACAGTGGCTCAAGCCTGTAATCCCAGCACTTTGGGAGGCCAAGGCGGGTGGATCACGAGGTCAAGAGATCGAGACCATCCTGGTCAACAAGGTGAAACCCCGTCTCTACTAAAAAAATACAAAAAATTAGCCGGGCATGGTGGCGCGTGCCTGTAATCCTGGCTACTCAGGAGGCTGAGGCAGGAGAATTGCCTGAACCCAGGAGGCAGAGGTTGCAGTGAGCCGAGATCAAGCCATGGCACTCCAGCCTGGGTAAAAGAGCGAAACTCTGTCTCAAAAAAAAAAAAAATGGTTAAGATGGTTTTTTTTGAGATGGAGTCGCCCAGGCTAGAGTACGGTGGCACAATCTTGGCTCACTGCAACCTCCACCTCCTGGGTTCAAGCAGTTTTCACACCTTAGCCTCCCAAGTAGTTGGGATTAAAGGTGTGTGCCACCACGCCCAGCTAATTTTTTGTACTGTTTTGGTAAAAACAGGATTTCACCATGTTGGCCAGGTCTTGAACTCCTGGCTTCAAGTGACCATCTCTCCTCTGCCTCCCAAAGTGCTGAAATTACAGGTGTGCACCACTGCCCCCAGCTTAAGATGGTAAATTGTGATTTTTTTTAACCACACTTTAAAAAATAATAAATTTTTCTTAATGCCAAACTCTTTCTTGCCTACCAGCCTTTCCTCTTGCTGTCCTTTCTGCCTGGGACACTCCCACTTTTTGCATGATTGGTTTCTTTTCATACTTCTAGTTCCAGCTTAAATGTTACTCCGTCAGAGATATCTCCCTTGATAATGCCATTCTTTTAAATAGGCCCCCCATGAGTCTCAGTCTCAACAACTTGTTTGTTCTTTTTAAAAGACTTATCACAATCTGTAATTATATATTTATTTGTGTCAGTCTTTCCTACTAGAATATAAAGTCTATCAAGACAGCAACTATGTCTGTTTTATTCTTTACCACTATTATTATTATTATTATTATTGAGATAGGCTCTCACTCAATCAGCCAGGCTGGAGTGCAGTGTTGTGGTCTCAGTTCACTTGTAGCCTTGATCTCCCAGGTTCCAGTGATCCTTGTACCACAGACTTCCAAGTAACCAGAACTGCAGGTCCATGCCTGGCTAATTTTTTTTTTTTTTTTTTTTTTTTTTTTGGTAAAGGTGGGGTTTCACCATGTTGCCCATGCTGGTCTCAAATTCTTGGGCTCAAGTGATCTGCCCACCTCAGCCTCTCGAAGTGCTAGGATTACAGGCGTGAGCCATCGTGCCTGGCCTATGTCTGAATTTTAAACCACACACCTGCCTTGGTAATGGATACACAATAGGTATCTAATATATGTTTCTGAATGAACAAATGAGTCTATGTAAACTGGGAAGAATAACATCTAGCTCATGGAGTTGCTGTGACAGTCAGGTGCAGTAACATGTATAACTCAGGGCCTCCCTCATGGTAAAAACTCAACCATTTTTTTCAGGGAAGGATATGTCGATTGTACCAGATGATTTTTAAATGATAATCCAACTCCAAGGTTCTCAGGAATGTTGCAAGGGCAGTGGGCAAGGCAGGGCTATATGCAGACTAACAAGCGGAACACCTGCATTCTAGTCAGGAAGTGCAACTCTGCCAATAGGTAAGATCTTTCATGCCTGGGCCCTAGAGTCATTATTCTTTGCTCAGAACTTCCCAATATTCTCAAAGTTCTCCACACCTTATGGGAAAGGATGAAATACTTAAAGTAGGAGTTCCAAACCTAGGGAACCTTGAGGAACCATGGAGAGAATTCAGGTCTGTGAACATGGATGGGGGAACAGATGACATCTTTATTTCCACTGATCTCTAACAGAAAGTCAGCATTTCTTTTATTATAAGTGTTGCCCTCCTCAAAAAATCAAAACCCTCAGTAGTATTAGCTGTACCTGTGATTTTGTTACCAATACAAATCACTAAGATTGTTCTACATTACTATCATAACTTGAAATATTGTTTATGCTCATTACTAATTCAAAAGTATGAAAAACATTAGGCCTGCCATTAGATTTTGTTATTTAATAAGTTAAAAAGCATAGATATTAATATTTCACAAATTTTACCTTTAAAATGTGTGATAACATTATTTTAATATCACAGGGTTACTCTGTAATTCTGTGTATTTTATTTTGATATATCTGGAAACATTCTAAGTGGTCCATTGACTTCACCAGATGGCCAAAAGGGTTCTTGGTACATTTATGTGTTAATGATGCACAGAGCCTATTATGAGAAAAACTTGAGACTATAATGATCCCACTCCCCATTCAAATTAGGAAGGTGCTGAGAGACCGAAGAATGACTCAGACAAGTCCAGCTTGACAAGCAGATGAGTTTATTAGGACTTACATGCAGGTCACACCTGGATGGCTGCAGGAGAGCTCTAGAGATTCACAACTACCACCTATCTTTAAGCTCCTTCTAAGCTAACTTTCTGGTGCTTTGCCTACTGCATTTGAGTGATGAGACTTTTTCTTGGTAGGTTCTCAGGGACACCTGCTCTTTGGCTGGGCACCATAGCTGTTGACTCACCACCCAGGCTTCAGGGTTCAGACAGTAGACATACAGCCTTAAATAACCTGAGAACCTGGCCGGGCACAGTGGCTCATGTCTGTAATCCCAGCACTTTGGGAGGCCAAGGCACACAGATCACTTGAGATCAGGAGTTCAAGACCAGTCACGCCAACATAGTGAACCCCCATCTCTACTTAAAATACAAAAATTAGCTGGGTGTGATGGCTCATGCCTGTAGTCCCAGCTACCTGGGAGGCTGAGGCAACAGAATCATTTGAATCTGTGAGGCAGAGGTTGCAGATCACACACTCCAGCCTGGGCAAAAGAGCAAGACTCCAACTCAAAACCAGAAACAACAAAATATTTAAGGACCCATCACATTACACAATTCCTGTCACACAACAGAAGTTCCATGAATCTTCATGATCTTAAGAATTTATATTCCCATACTTTGGGTTCTACCTTGACTCTGTAATTATGTAAAGAACAAAGCAGAAAGGCCGGTTTGACTCTTAGGGAAAACTTGATTACGTTTTTTAAAAAGTCTTGTTATCAAAAGGCTTATTGTTTCTCTTCAATTTTTCATCATGTGAAGAAAGTCTGAAATGTATCTATTTAAGTTATTTTGCTGACATCATTTCATTCCTTCTAAATAACTGCTAATATACTACTTGTGACTATAGCACTTAAGGCAAGGAACTATAATGGAGCCCTTGTGATTTGTGATGTCATTTTAACTCAGTGAAATATAACTATGACTCTGAGACCAACTTTTCATGAGTTTTGTCTTAATATTTCAAATGAATGTCAGCAGATGACGTAGAATCTCCTCTGCTTATAAAAGGATAAAAATTGAAAACAAAAACATTCTCAACTCTAATAAACGGAAACTGCAATTCCAAATACTCAAACTAATGCTAAATTATTTTGTGCTAAATATTTTATATTCAGTATTTAATACTGAATAAATATCTAAACTTACTAGGCATGCTAAAAGACAGAGTCATATGATCAAAAGCCAAGAAAAAATAGACAATAGAAAGTAACCCACAGGTAATCTGGGTATTAGATTAGTAAACAAGAACTTTGACTAAAATGTTCAAGAAAATAGACAAAAAGATATAGAAGTTCACCAGAGAATTAGAATCTACTTTTTAACATAAATTATGCAACCAAAAATATTTATGATAACTGAAATTAAGAGAAGCCAGGAAAATCAAGGGCGTATGGCAGCAGGAACCACTGAGCAGATGGGGAAATGTCGCTATGCACATGGATGCTGATGCTGACTCAGCACCTTCAGCTGCATCTCTGGAGTCCTGTGTCAGGCTGGAACCCTGAAATCCAATGCAGACTCAAAAAACTTGTGTACCCATTTTAAAAAAGAAAACTTTAAAAATGTAAACTCTGACATTTATGTTCAAGAGTATCCTCCTAGTACTATATTGCAGTAAACAGGCACCAAAACATAAAGTTCTCTGTCAAAAGCAATTCTTCAAGAAGCACATGCCTGTAGTCTCAGCTACTCAGCAGAATGAGACAGGAGGATGCCCTGAGCCCAGGGGTGTGAGGCTACAGTGAACCATGATCACGCCACTGCATTCCAGCCTGGGTGAGAGGGAGATCCAGTCACTGCTCCAAAAAAAAAAAATTGTCAAAATGATTCTAAACCCACGTACATTTTAAAATTTTCTATCATGACATTTAAAAAAAATAGCTGGACAATTAGCTATTGATCTGTTTATAAAGGATTAGGGAAAAAATGATGGCACAGCAATTGCCAAAAAGCTTTCTTTAAAATTATTGCATAAGGATGGCTGATACAGTTTGGCTCTGGGTCCCATCCAAATCCCATGTTGAACTGTAATTCCCAATGTTGGGGGAGGGACCTGGTGGGAGGTGACTGGATCACAGGGGCAGATTTTCCCCTTGCTGTTCTCATGACAGTGGGTTCTCATGGGATCTGATGGTTTAAAAGTGTGTGGCACTCCCCCCTTCACTCTTTTTCTCCCGAAGACATACTTGCTTTCCCTTTGCCCTTCTGCCATGACTGTAAGTTTCCTGAGGCCTCCCCAGCCATGCTTTCTGTATAGCCTGTGGAACCATGAGCCAATTAAACCTCTTTTCTTTATAAATTACCTAGTCTCAGGTAGTTCTTTACAACAATGTGAGAACAGACTAATACATTGGCTATCACTGGGGCTGTGGCCACATTTCCTACAGTTAATTTTATAATCCATATTTCAGACTTGAACCTACCTAACATTAAAATATACATTATAACCAGTATTATGAATTCAGAGTCACAGAAAAGATGGTAGGGAGTTTTTTGGTTAAATAATTCTCTTTAAAAGGTAGGGAGGGTTTGGTCTTACACAAAATAACAACAAACCCAGAGCCAGAAGGAAAACTGCTTTGTTATTATTATTATTTATTTTCTTTTTTCTTTCTTTTCACATGTGTGAAGCAGGAAAACAAGGTGGCTCAGCTCATGGCAGTCCTGATAATGATCCCTGAGGGCTGATCGTGGCCTCCAGCCTTGGCACGGAGGAAAGGGATGGCTTATTACTAATGATAAAAAACAGACATGTGATCTACCTCAGCATAGGGAAACTTGGATAGGTGACTTGGCAAGTCATGGATGATATATAGAAAGTTATTGTCCAGTTAACTTTTAAAAAGAATCATTTTGCTTATTTATACTTTAGGAGTAAAATACAAAGAGAAACTGTCTCCTGAAAATTGATCATGAAATTAAAATGTAACTTCAAGTATACTGATGAGGTAGAATAATTGCATGAAGTTCCAAGATATATATATATATATAGATAGATAGATAGATAGATAGATAGATAGATATCTATATATATATTTTTTTTGAGACGGAGTTTTGCTCTTGTTACCCAGGCTGGAGTGCAATGGCACGATCTCAGCTCACTGCAGCCTCTGCCTCCTGGGTTCAGGCAATTCTCCTGCCTCAGCCTCCTGAGTAGCTGTCCAAGAGATATTTAAAGACAATAATAATGACCGATGAGGTTGAAAGTAATCAAACATCCTCTCCTTTCATTTCTCCATTTTATTTTTGTCACAAATTTTCATTGCTCATTTTCTTATTTCCCCTTCTATTGTCTTGAAATCAGTATCAACAGGCCAAACTCTTGCTAACCAATCTATAATAATAAAGCAGCCCAGAGAAGAGAAGCAAACCTATAAAAATGAGGAAATTAAATATTATCTTGTCTATAAGGCAACTAAAAGAGTATGCAAATATTATTTTACTGAGAGCTTATGATATTCTTGGAAGATAATAAGGAGGCAGAGATTATTTCCCTTGTTTTGCTGCCTGGGAAATGAAGCCAGTATTGAAAAGGTGACTTGGTAAAGGTCGTTAAGCAAGCAAAGTGCTTCTGAGATTCCTATGCCCTGGGAAAGCTGAAATACCCTCTTGCTTTCACTTCCTTGTTTTCTTTTTTTGTCTTGTCCTCTCATTCAAAAGCAAACTTTAAAAAATTAGAATCAAGTCAATAATATTTAATGTGCTTGTTCTATACAAAGTATCATGGAGGACAAAAAGGAATTTAAGACCTTGATTTAAAGGAGCAGTTAAAAATCACTATATTAGCCTGGATTCTCACTGCTGCTCAGTCATCCTTTTGTTTACCATTTACTATGCATATTTATCCGCTAAGATAACTGTTCCAAAATGCCTTTTCCTTCAAGCTCCCAACTTCAACACTGCTCTTTTGACTCTTAACCTTGCTTGCCTTTTTTACTGAATATTTTGAAGCTACCTTAGGAATTTTCTTCTCTCTTTTCAAAATCTCTTTTACTTCCTTCCCTCTTTCCCCCAAGAAAGGATACTATCATCATCTTGCTAGAACTCATCTTCTCTAGTGTGAAACTCTGATTGGCCCAAATTTGCAGGGGTATCACCACACCATTATTTTTTCTTTGATTTGCATTTCAATCCTACTCTCCCACTTGCCAGCTTCTTCTCCCTTAGTAAATATAAATTGGTTATTTCTGATGGTACCTGCCCCCACTACCACTTCAAGCTGCAATGTACTGTGTCCTTTCCCTTACAATTAAATTTATTCCAAAAGGAATCTGCAACCTGTAATTCCACTAATAATTAAACTTTTATAATATGGCTTTTGCTTCTATAATGTTACCGAAATACTTCGTGAAGACAAATAAAATAAAATAAAAGCATGTGAGTCAATAAATCGAATGGCTTTTTCTAGTCTTTGTTCTCAGCCTTCCCGGTTTCTCTGAAGTTTTTGATGCAAGTTTTGTACTGCCTTATCTTCATTGTTTTGCTCTCTACCACTCTGACCATTTCCCACTGACTGTTCTTCATCTTCCCACCGCTAAATACAGACATTCCTCTAGTTTTTGCCTTTTTCCTTATATATACTCTTTCTTAGATTCCTCTTCATAGAGATGATAACAGAAGCTGAAGATTCTTATCCTCTGAGAATTCCAATAATCTCTCCAAAAAAAAAGTACATATAAAGAAAAGAGCAGTATATTCTCACTTAAGTGGGAACTAAGCTATGGGTAAGCAAAGGCATACAGAGTGGTATAATGGACATTGGAGACTCAGAAGCAGGGAGGGTGGAAGGGAGGTGAGGAATAAAAAAACTACATATCGGGTATAATGTATACTACTCTAGTGACAGGTGCATTAAAATCTCAGATTTCGCCACTATATAATTCATCCATGTAATGAAAAACCACTTGTATCCCAAAAGCTATTGAAATATATATATGTGATACATATATATTATATATACATATATGTATGTATTATATATAATTAAAAAATAAAGGGCAGACCTTTTTAAATGTTTTCAATTGATACATAATTTTACATATTTATGGGGCACAGTGTGACGTTTCAATATATGTATACATTGTAAATAAACAAATCAAATCAGGATATTAGCATATCCATCACCTTATTTATCATTTCTTTCTTTCTTTTTTTTTTTTTTTGAGACGGAGTCTTGCTGTGTCACCGAGGCTGGAATGCAGTGGTGTTATCTCAGCTCACTGCAACCTCTGCCTCCAGGTTCAAGTGATTATCATGCCTCAGCCTCCCGAGTAGCTGGGATTACAGGCACGCACCACTGCTACTAATTTTTATATTTTTAGTAGAGACAGGGTTCCACTGTATTTGCGAGGCTGGTCTTGAACTCCCGATCTCAAGCGATCCACCTGGCTCAGCCTCCCAAAGTGCTGAGATTACAGGTATAAGCCACCACACCCAGCCACATTTATCATTTCTTTGTGATGAGAACATTTAAAATCCTCTCTTCTAGCTTTTTTGAAATATACAATATTGTTAACCATTGTCACCCTACTGTGAATAGAACACCAGAATTTACTCCTTCTAACTGTCACTTTGTACTTGTTGACCAATTGCTCCCTATGCCCCCATTCCCTTTCCCCTCCCCAGCCTCTGGTAACCACTATTCTATTCTCTACTTTTGTGAGATAATTGTTCTAAGAGATGACCTCCGCATGCAGCCCCCTCTAGCACAACCCTATAAAACTTACCTCCAGCCCCTGTCATTTTGCAAACAGCCCCTTCTCTGCTGTGCTGCCTGTTGCAATCTTGCAATGTATTTTCATACTTTCTCTAATAAATCTGCCTTTCTTTACCTATCTTGCCTTTCTTTAACTATCTTGGTAAATTCCTCTACCACCTGTAACACCAACCCAGCCCTAGATAGTCACTTGTGATGCTTTGGTGGCCCATACAGGGACTATTTGGGGACCTGTTCCCCTATAGTCTCCCTTTCCTGTCCTTCAACTCCAACCTCTTGGTGACAGCATCCAAGCCCAGAGACAGCTGAAGATCCATGGCCGGGGCCATTCTCAGCAGATCGGAAGGTCCCCATAAAAAGATGTCTGACCACCACTGCCTGATCAGGTAAGAATTCAGAGTCTACTTTCCTTTCCTGATCCTCTAGCAGACAAACTCTAGCATCCCTCTGGCAATTGATGACAACAGGCCGGGGCCACTCCTTGGTGTAGCCTGAAGACCAGAGGGTGAACAACTTTGGCTGCTTTACCCAGGAGGGAGGAAGACTCTTTCCTACACTTTCTGGTTAAAAGTCCCCAGTCCCTTTGTGTGGCAGAATTGCACATGTTTTAAGGAACTCGGACCCCCCCTTTCTCACTCTAAATTCTCCCATGAAGACAGCCAGACATCCTGCTCTGGATGTTCCAAAATCAGGTGATCTCAAGTGGCCTCAGAGCAGTGAGTGTCCCCATTCCTGTCCCTTCTCTCTTTGGGCTGGCAGTAGGCTGTCTTTTTCTCTTTACCCTTTTTCCTCATACCTGGGCTGATCACCCAGAATAAGGCATCAGTGCTGAGAGGTCTTTTCCGGTGGGCGGGACGCCCCTTTAGAAAGTGCACTCGTGTCCCTCTGCAAGGTGAGCAAAACCCTTTTCCTCAGCAGAATGCACCTAAAGAAAGTGTAGTTCGTGTCCCCAGCAGACATTACCTCCGAGTGGCTCATCATTTTCTAGTCCCAATATGGGATAAACCCCGTCTATTTCTTCAGACTCACCTCTGGGCTACATCCTAAAACATCAAGACAAATTTAACTCTCAGACTCTAAAAAAGAAACATCTAATTTTCTTTTTTTTTGAGGTTTCATCTTTTTAATAAGTTCTCTGAAGGACATCCTAAGCACTACATGAGACAAAACAGAATATTTTTTTCTGCTGGTATTAAAAAAAAAAGATATTTACAAACATTTTAAAGCAACTCTTCTATATAATCAGTTTGGTGATCTGAATTAGAGAATACCCCGAGATAATCATGTTCTTGATGCAGATTTCTTATAGGTACATTTGGAAATTGCTACCTAACCACAATAAACACTGTGTACAGGTTTTTTTTTAATGTTCCTGGATACACATTAATTTTAAAAACCAGCCTGGCCAAATGCCAGAACCATTATTGCTAGATCCAATAATCCTGAGAGCTCAAACTAAAAAACCGGTGAAAAATAATCGGACTCTACAAATGTTCCATAATTTTTCTTTAAACAAAAGGAAAAATATTTTAAAAAGATGACGCTGTCTAAAAGGTCTTTAGCTAGCTACCTTGGGAGCTCAATTTAAAAATAAGAAGTTGGCCAGGTGCAGTGGTTCACACCTATAATCCCAACACTTCGGGAGGCCAAGGTGGTTGGATGGCCTGAGATTAGGAGTTTGAGACCAGCCTGGCCAACACAGTGAAACCCCATCATTACTAAAAGGTGAAGGTGATGAAACCAAAACCACTGGACCACTGACTCTCCTTCACAGCGACCACCTCAGAGATAGGCCTGAAGCTGCTACAGTGGTCTTCCAGCGCCTGCTCATTGGTATTAAAGTTGCGCCTTCCCACGAAAAGCTTTCCTTCTTCAGAGAACATGGCAGCAAGTTAAAGTCCTGGAAATTAAAACTTAAAAAAGCCAGACAGACAGCAAACTCAGACGTGCAGAGAAAATAGGACACATCTAATTTTCTTGTGTAATATCTTAATAACATGG